TAATAAAACAATTTATTTTTGGTTTAATATTATAAATTTTATAAAGATAATAATTAAGTATTCTGTTAGAATTTAATGATTATACTAATTATATTTTAGATTTTTTATATTTAAAATGAAATATTTATCCAGTATTTGATTGTGTTTATCTGTAGATAGTTACACGAATTCAAATATGGGATGAAATCGGATAGGGATGAATGGGTTTAAGAGTTTTTAAGAGTTTTAAGAGTTTTTAAGAGTTTTAGTCAAATGCTTTATAAGATGGTATAGATATTATATTATTAAATATTTGTTTCAATTATATTTTGAAATATTACAACTGATTAATTTTTTAAAATGTTTTTTTGATTATTTTATATTCTTATCAGCTAGTTTTATCAAAAATAATTTATTTATCACTTAGCCTATCAACCATCAGTTAACTTATCAATTAGTGTATCAAACATAGTCCAAAAGTATATTCAAATGCGATAAGTCTTCTAATTTAGTCAAATGTTTTCTAAAACTACATATCAAGTCAAAACATTAAAAGTTCTTAAATAATAATGCTTTTTTTAATAAAATGCAAAAACCGAAATTAAAATATAAAAATAAATATAAAATATAAATAGAGAGAGAGGAACAGAAAGAACAAAGAAAAGTAAAAGATATTGAGAATGGATTAAAGAAAAAGGAGTTGATGCATATATTTATATATTTGACTGACAAAAGCATTTAATTAATTTAAAAACAAAAACACATAATATAAAATAGTATTTTACTCCACCTAAATAATAATAACTACTACTATTTTCCACGTCATCATTGTGGATCTCGACGTGGGCCCACATCATTTTTTAGTAACGTGTAAAGTCATGCACAAGCCCTGCTCTGTCAGTCACATTGAGACGCCACGACAGAAACGTAGAATCTCTGTCGTCCACCTCATCTCTAAACCTAAATTCGCTCCCCACCGCCGCCGGCGAGTAGCATGACGGCATTTTCTGCGTCGATTGCATCCAACTGTTCTGGTTGTACCCTTCCGTCGCATCTCCACCACTACCCACCACCGTCGTCGCCGTCGCCGCCGCTCTCCTCTCTTCCTTCTTGAATCTAATCCCACACGCATTGCACAGCGACTGCAAGTTTTCCGATCGATTCATTCTCAAATTTTAAAAATAACCAATTAATTTATCTCTGTGTGTGTATGTGTGTTTGTTTCTTACCTTAGGGCCTCGAGGACCGTTCCTCCAAAGTGGAGTAGAAGTGGTGTCACAGTTAGCACATCTCCGGGAAAGCAGCGAGTCAGCGGCGGAGGAGTTTGTTGCGCCGCTGCGGTTAGTTTTGTGGGAAGGAGGAGCCGGCGAGTGGCTGTTATCCGGCTGTAAAAAGTCCCAGCAGAAACGAGAAGAATGGCGTGATTCCGGCAAGTCATAGTCATTGTCGGCGGTTAAACGAGTCGAAGCAGGTGTAGCTAAAGAAAGAGTACAATCAACAGAAGCAGATGAAGAAGAAGGAGAAGAAGAAGAAGAAGAAGAAGCATAAGGACAGATATGTTGATGGTAAGGAGGCATGGTGAAAAGCATGGAGAATGAGTTGGGTTGATAATGGTGGTCACATGAGCATGATCTATGCATGGTTGGTGGAGTGTGTGTTTGAGTGTGAAAGTGTGTGTGATGGTGGTGGGATGAGAATGGGGGTTTGTGTTATATAAGAAGATGAAATAAGAGTCAAGAAGTTGCAGTCCACCAGATTGTCGTCAAAGGCTACTGTTGCTTATCAGTAGTACTCCTATTCCTATAGTCCTATATGTATATGTATCTATTTATATACATAGATATAACAGAGAGTGGACAGTGTGTGGGACCAAACTCAAGCAGATGCAAAAATAGATAAGCGAGATCCAGAAATGGGACTTAGCAATGAGGAATGCATTGGTAGCAGAGGATTAGCTATTTATATACGCATACACGAGTGGGAACGATGAGGTGTGTCTCTTTGTGTGTATGTGTGTGTGTGTGTGTGTGTGAGGGGGGGGGGGGGGGGGTTGGAGGTCATGAGGAGTGGAGGAAGGGTAAGATGGGTATTATAAGTAACGTCAACATAGTTTTAATCACCGAAGATGAGACGAGTGTGTCCATACGTGAGTTTTAGCATGTTTCATTCGAAATAACTAAACTTTTATAAGAGAATAATCTCACATTATCTACCTACGTAGAGGTTTCATTTATATCGGGAGTCTCAAACTCTCTCAATACTAGATGTTTATGACTCCCCTCTTTTTGGTGGGTAAAAACGGGTAGGCTATGGCAAATACTGTAGACGTAGTTCCGACAGCCTATCTTAAAAGCAAGTCATGAAACACTTATGTTGTACAAGGGAAGGGCTTTGATAAGAAAGAGTTAGGGGGTGTCCCGTTTAGTGTGGTGCAACTCAAGCAATTCAAGTGTAGTACATAAGCGTTTTCAAGCTCCCTAGCATCACAGTGGAAGACCGTAAAGAATGCTAAACTTGTTTTGGTAGGGTTCGAGAAAAGAAGGGTCTGGTTGTCATGACATTGTCTTCAATTGTGTTGCAAGAATATATTGTGGCCTTTGGGTTCCGAAACTCTATGGCTTTCAATCCTATGGTGTTCGGAAAACAAGGTTGGCGACTGCTATCAAATCCTGAACTCTGGTCAGCAAGGTTTTCAAAACCATGCACTACCCATGAGGGGACTTTTTGGAGTCCCATTTGGAGTATAATTATGTTATCTGGAGGAGAACATGGAGTTCTCAACTTATCCTTTCGAGGGTTACAAATGAAAGGTTGGTACAAAAAAGGCTATTCGAGTCTGGAAAGACCTTTACATGAGATGTGATTAATAAGATACTCGAAACACCTATCAAGGAGGACCTTCAAGACTTACGAGTGAGTGATCTTTTTGTGCCTAACACCATGGAGTGGAACACTGAGATACTCCATCAGCTTTTCTCACTACAGGATGTGAAAGAAATTTGTAGTTTGTCGTCAAGAAGGAACATCAAACATTTGAATTATGTGGCATAGGAGTGCAAGTTAAGATTACACGGTAAAAAGCTAATTTTGTCTAGCTATAGAGGCCCTAAAAACAAATTTTCAATAGTTTGTTGAGGACAATTAGCTAACACTCTAGATGTTGTTTCTCGTTATCCTACCTTCTTGACCCGAGTCGGTTAATGACAAGTTTCTCATGATTCTATGGTGCTTTTGGAGACAACGGAATGACACTTTATAGAACAATAAATCGGGATTTGCAACCCAAACGGTACACAACGTTTTGGAGGTGCATGAGGATTGGTTAAAGGCACAACCTTTATAGGTACACCCACAGCCTACGTTGGACTCCTGATTGTTTTGGCACAAACCCCCTCCATACTTCCTGAAATGTAATATAGATTCAACCTAATAACTCTCATTTTGAGCGTTATTTACACATTTTATAGTTGTGCTTGTAATTTATTTTCAAGTCTTTAACTTTCAGCAATGTTGCCTACTGTGGACACAGTTTGTATTTTATTTTCAATGCAATTAGATTTTTAAGTATTTCTCTTATTCTACTATTTTATGGACGTACAACTTCTCCCGCTATCACAACCACTTTTGGCAACGCCGTATTTGTTGGATCAACTACAATTTTCATGACACGAATGGGACACCGGTCGCTGCCCAAAAATCAATGCTAGCCGACACCCTGCTAATCAAGAATTGCAAGTCCCTTGCACTTTTAGAAGCCGTCCTAGACAACAAGTCTTGGGCACTAAACAGTGATTTTTGAATCAGATGCCAAACTAGTTGTCACAACTGTCTATTCTCATGTAAAAGACGGAACAAGATCTGGTGATATCATCTCTCTTGTCGCATTTTACCTCTTCAACATCGCTTTTATTGTCTTTTTCATTAGGCAATGATTTAATAAGATTATACATTCTTTAATACAGTAAACTCATTTTTTTTTAATTTTGAAACGTCATAGTTTTTGACTCAGACATATTATCGTCATATATGCCTTTTGAAAATTCATTTAATAGAAGTTGTTTTTTTGTTTGATAAAACTAATAAATATTGGTTTGATTTTCATTTAAAATTGTATTTACTTAAATATAAGATTAATTTAAATAATTAAAGTTTTAAAGTTAATTAAATATTTAGTGATTCCAAATTAATATGGAGGATGGTTATTTTGTAGAGAGAGTCAAATGCAATGGTCAAAAAGGGCACGTGACAGAGGAGGGATCCAGTGTTCTCCGATCACGAGGCACACAGTCTTCATATCCCTCCTCCAATCTTACACCAATCTCTTTTTTTCTTTTCTTTACTTTTAAAATTCAATTTTTTTAATTAAAATAATTAAATTTAAAAATAAATCTACCATCACCCTCACAACTTCATAGGAAAATCTTCTCTAAATGACGCTGTTGATATTTGAATTTTATTTGCGGTAATTTCGTACGATCAAGAATCATGTGAGAAAGAAAGTTATGATAAGAAAGTGTAAGAAGAAATCTGGACCTTTAATCAATTTTGATCTCATGCCCACCTCATGAATTGTGTTTTAAAAGAGAATTGATTTGGTGCATCTCATCTTGGTGCCTCTCCTCCTAATATGCATCCAATGATGGATATCTTTTTTTTACGTTTCTTATCATAACTTTCATTTTCATCAGAACTCAACCTATTCGGTAGTAAACATACATAAGTTAAAATATAGTTTTAATTTAGAAGTTGGTTTGAAATACCAAGTTTTTTATATGTAGTATCATGGCTACACATTTTGCAATAATTAATTTACAATGACGTCCCAGATTATGTTTAACAATTAAAAAAGTTATATGTCCGTTGATAGGTAGTTTAGGGTCGTTTTTGAGAGAGAATGGGTTGGGCGTCTGCCTAGAGTAAAAAAAAAACGGGGGTTAGAAATTTTAATTTTTCTGATATACAGTAGTAGTTCAAAAAAATTAATAAATAACAGAGACCTATTCTTTCCATGTATAATAGAAGTCCGAAAATAATTTAATAGATAACAAGGGTAAAAAAAATGTGTTAGTTAATTACACTAGAGAAGAAACTCTGTAAAAAAATCAAGTGTTTTTTAGTTTTCTGTTATAGTTTACTGGTTCTCTAAGTCTTGTTTTTGGTATCGTGGTCAAGGCTATTGACTATTACTATCGCTAGCAAACAAATGGGTACTAGATAGCCATGGTAAGATGGAAGGACTGTCTATCTGTTTGATTGTTTTTGTGCTTTAACAACTCAACAGACAACTGTTTTTTAGCTGTAATCATTATGCTCATGAGCTTATTATTACTATTTGTATGTGTTGGACATATCTACTTTTATTGATGTTTGTCTACTTGACTGCTTGTATTGGCAATTCTTATTTACTTATGTTGTTTGCGTAATTTGTTCTGTTTGTTTTCTTCATAATTTTATGATTAATCAACAAATTCTCCTTATTAAATGCTTTAAAACACTAGTTTTGTATACGTCATGTTTTATACAAGGAGAAGAGGAATGGTTGCTAGGTGGTTACGGTTAGTGTTTGGGTTTGATTTTGAGACTGGATTTGAGTTAACGACCGCTAGTACAGGGACCAAATCGTTACAAGAATGCAAACTTTAGGGACTATTGGAATAAAACCATACGAACCAAATCGGTAATTTATTTTGTTTTTATTTTTCAAATTAATAAAACTTAAAAGGTTGTACTCATTTAAGGGGTCAAGTTGTTAAACTTGTGACCCAACCAGTTCAAGTTGATCTCCGTTTATTTTGGTATCTGGTTTTAACTATAATTGTTGCGATAAATACAACAGGATAATTCAATAACTTAAAATGGTGATAATAACTAGATCATAAAATAAATTTATTTATTAATAAAAATAAATATATATTAATAGAAAAAGGTGATGGAGTAAATAAATTGCGTTTGATACATCCCCAAATGTATATTACCTAGAAGAATACATGTCTGTAATAGTACAATAATTATTATTTAATTAATAATAAAAATATATATTGGAATTTGAAATATAAATTTGGAGAATCTATTTTTTGCTATAATAATATTAAAATAATAAAACTAGCACGTACAGTTATGTGGGGTGGGGGTGGGTTTGGGTAGACTGGCAGTGGATCCTCGTTAGGGGGTCAAATCCATGGAGCCAGCTTGAACCTGCCGCCACTTAAGGTACGGTTGGACCGGTCATGTGAGTTGCTTTTGTTTTTCTCACGCCTCATCCCATTTAAAATATTTCAAATATATATATATATATATATTAGGATGGTATTCGTACGATGTAGCAAAATACATCTTGATTTTAATGTTTCATTTTTTTTGTTTCAGTCGATGTTATAATACGGTATTATATGGTTTTGAGAAATGCGATAATATTTTTGTTTTTGAAAATAAAATATAAATATGAAGGTATTATAAAAAATTGAAAAAAAATATTAATATTATTATCAAACTAACTATTTAAAGTTTCTCATGTTTTGTATATTTGTTAGATCTATTTTTTTTGATTTAATAATACTTAAGTATCTTACTAAAACTCAATTATTATCCTAATTATCTTTTAGATATTTTATAATTAAATTGAGATGTTTATCCTGTAGATTATGTTTATCTAAAGTTAATTACACGAATTCAAATA